TATATATATATAAAGATCCGTTAGGAATACAAAATTGATTAGGAACCCAAGAACTCTCCATAGCGTGCCACATGTCCCTATTCAGAATAAATATTCATCATCAATCACATATGCATGATGAATATGGATGTGTGTTATTCATCATGAATCACACATTCATGATGATAACACGTCTATATTCCGGAGGAAAATGCTACGTGTTGTATTGTGAATGCTCCCCCGGTTTCTAAAACTTTTTTGGTTTCTAACGGATGTTGCGCCCCAATATAGGGATGTGATCGGGAGAGAGAGAGTTGAATTCCCATAAGAAATGTTATTTTTCATGAAAATTATAGGAAATGTAGTCTTCACATAATATAACGTAACATTCACATAATTTATATAAAAGTACCGTTATATTATGTTTGTAAGCGTGTAGAGGTTATCATCTCTCCACAAAAAATGATGATGAAACATATTCAAGTCTCTAAACTTCACCACTTTCACAAATTATAACGTAACATTTACACAATATTGAATATATTATAACATTTTCACAAATTATAACATTATAGTACTTTCACAAATTATACATATTCAATATTGAGGTTTCATGGTTTTTGTTGACATTTTAGCACATGGTGGGCCAAAACCATGAAATTCATCAATCACCAACAAAACGCCCCCCCTCTCTCCACCACACAAAACAAAACGCCCCCCTCTCTCTCTCTCTCCACCACACAAAATAAAACGTGCATATTTCATCTTCTTATCTCCTCCATATATACCAAAACAAAACCATAACTGCAAACCGGATCTTTCTTTCTATGTGATCGTGATTCGTGACGGTAACGACATAAAGTTGATAGTAACTGTTCACGTATTTTTCATTAATATTTAACAATTTCACAATAATTAACAGTTTCAATGTCGGAATGAAAAAACAACTGAATATACATGTTTTCGTATTTTTTATGTATAAAGATGTACAACAAACCTCTCATAAATTTATTTAATTCATCCATTGCTTCAATTACATATAAAATAAAATTCAAACTTACATATAAAGACCATTACTACACACTAGGACAAGTACAAGAGTTACAAACCCCAGACAGTAATACACCTTATTATTACGACAAATCATTTACCAGTAAAAATCAGTTCATAAGATATGAACTGATTTTCTCAAACCCAACCAGATATCAAATCCCAGATCATAGTATACAAACCCTAAATTTGAAAAACCAACCAAAAGGTTTGATGCTATGAAACGAAAGGATGCATGAAATGGTATAATTAGGGTTCTAAGCCAAGGTTCTTTCTGTACCCCATTGTAGCCTCGTAAATCTTGTTTGGATCAGCAAGAGTCTTGGAAACACTCTCTCTTTCCATGCATTTTGTAGCCCAATCAATCAACTTTGGACATTCTTTCTTGACACTGAACTTCCCAAGGATCTCATATGCATAAAAATGGTGGTAATACGATATAAGCACAATATCCACATACCCAAAACTCTCACCCATAAAATATGGCTTCTCTCCAAGCTCCCCTTCCAACACTTTGAGGTACCCTACAAGTTCCTCTCCTCCTTTTTGCATCTCTTCGCCTTTTGAGCTCCATATTCTCTTTGCACCTTCGTATATCTGCAAATTTTACAGTGCCTAATGGATGTGGTTTGCGTATATACTCCCAAAAACCAATGAAACATGCATACAGCTTAACACTGCAACAGAATAGGTTCTTTAGGACGCTAAAACATATCTAGATGTCGTAACAGACTATTCTATAGGACTTATTTAAGTGTATTAAAGAACTTGTTAGAACGTCCAAAAGTCTCCTAACAAATTTTTAACACACTTATGAAATAATGTCTCTAGATTTTTGTGACACTTTTGAAACGTATCATATGAACACATAGAATGCTTGTTTCTGTAAGACCTTTTTTTTCAAAATAATATTATGTAAAAGTTTAATAAAGACATTTTATTTCAAAAACATCTTAAAAGCTTGTTAGGATATCCAAAAGTATCCTAACAACAATCTATTAGGACATTCAGATATATTTGGTGTCTTTGCACAATTTTGTTGTAATTAATGCAAGCATACCTTCTTATCAATGTAATCAGCCCAAAAAGTGGCTTGAGATTTGAGATAAGGATCAGAAGGCAACAACGGGGCCTTATCCCTCCACGTCTCATCAATATACTGAAGTATGATTTTGGATTCGCAGATGGATTTCCCGTTGTGAATCAAAACTGGGATGAGCTTGTGAATGGGGTTGTGTTTGAGAAGAAGTGGACTTTTGTTTGGGATGTCTTCTTGTATGTACTCATATTCGACGCCTTTTTCAGCCAAAGCGATTCTCACCCTCGGATCGAACATGCTTAGCCACCAGCCCAACACAACCACCTCGGATTCTCCCATCGATCAATGAACGTTGGCTTCTTCAAATTCAAACCAAAAAGCGCTTTGGAATCGATCTGAAAACGGGTTACAAGGAGAAAGAGGGGTTTCGGGTATCAAGTAATTGAAGCGTGAATATATATATAGATACAATTATTGTAGTGTCATCTTTTTTGTTCTTTTTTATATTTTAAGGAAATCTTTTCGATGTCATTTTCATGCATATTAATATATTTATTAAAAAATTAATAAATTTTATTACTGCAAACACTTCCATACAAAACATTTTGTAATAATTAATTGGCATTTATAATTATTTATTAATGAAAATGAAAATATGCTCCTATTAAAAATAAAACCAACTAATGTAAACGATGACATATGCTATTTAGGGGCCGTTTACTAAATGCTTACTCGAGTAAGTGTTTATCAAATCACATTCCTTTACTGGATGAATATGACAAGGATCAAAAATCTTACTTCGTACGAGCGAAAACAATGATCGAAAGTCTTATCCGGTAAGTAATGAGGACGACCTTTACTATGGTTAGCGCTTACCGGGTGAATTGTTACATACGATGTCGTTTTAGTAGACTAAAATCTTACCAACAAGTAAACGATAGAGTTGAATTTTACCGTTAAGCGCTTACTGGGTAAGTGCTTAGGTAAACAACTCCTTAGATTTTGTTGGGTTCAAGGCTATGTGCTTAACATGTTGTATTCAAGCTTTTGATTCTCTTGTATTTCGTCTTAATATAAATAGTTTCCTTTCTTTTAGTTGTTTGTAAGCATTGTAAAGAGTTGTCGTTTTGTAATCTTTAAAGCAAATTAATCGGATTGAAGCATTTGGAAAATCTCTCTTTACATTTCTACTATCTCTATACATTTACACTTGTCTATTGTAATCTTGATTCATAGATTATGAATTGATTAATCTTTCTGGATTATCAATTGGTATCAGAAGAGATTATCAATTGATATGCCACTTTTATTCCTTCATAAAAATTTAACCATAATTGTCATTTTTGTCAAGAATGGCATCAAAACTGTTTCATCACAGAAACTTCATATTAAGAATTTTTACAGTTCTAAACCCAACTTTATTATCAACTCAAAATAATTTCAGGAACAGTTGCCTTTTTCCACATAGAACCAGACAGATCAATAACTCAAATACCAAATATAGAAAGTTGATAATATAAATTCACCTTATGTGCATGTATTCGAAGATGAAATTTACAACAACGATTTCCAAATATAATCACAGAATCAACTTGTAACAGCTTCATGTAGTATTTCACACAAGAATACACACAGTTTTTCTCTCTTTTCCTTTCTTTTCTTAAAACCAAATAAATAAGATAAATTTTATCTTATTACTTGCATATGCTATCCAAATACTTAGGCGGTGGAATCTTAATATTTTAAAAAATCATAACTCACACTCAACTACATGAATTGAAATATATATATATATATATATATATATATATATATATATATATATATATCATAGGCGGTGGAATTTATAAACAAATAAACAAGTAATCACATAAACATTTTAAAAATTCTTTACTTACCAAAATCTTTCAAAAACCACCTCAAAATTATATAATCGGAACCCGATTATCATATTTCACATGTAGATGAAAATGAAAACTCAATCTACCATTCATGGGGTTTTTTTAAAAAGAAAACATGTTAGATCTTCTTCTCAAAATCCGAAGAAACAACAAATGTAGATAATACCCCTACCACTAGTGTTCTGCCTACCGAAAACCCTTGCAAAAAAAACTCAAATGAAAAGTAATGATATTGATTTGGGCACACTAGAACGAGACCCTGGTTTGCGTCATCAAGTTTATGATTATCCTATCAATCAACAAGATACAATTCGACGAGCTTATATGAATCTTGGTCCTCTTCAACCTACATTTTCTATGTTTCCAAAATCTAGACCAGAACTCATAAACCTAGCTTTTAAGCTTCATGGTTAAGTTATATCCCTGGATTGAATATTCAAAGACTTTGGATACAACATTTTGTTTCCCTTTTTTTTATTTAACAAACCATCTGGACTCGGATACTACGGTCAACAAACATTTACCATAGATGGGCTTCGAAATTGAAAAAAAAATGGGTGGAAAAAATGTGGCTTCTTGATGCATATAGGAACCGATTGTACATCTTTCCACAATGTTGCACAAAAGGGATGGGATCATTTATTGAATGATGCGCAAGATATACGAAATATATTTGATGTCGTTCAACATACAGATTTTATTATTTTAATCAATTGACATCTATCGCAGAATTGTATAAATGGTTGGTAAGGACTAGAAAAGAAACCACTTTTGATCTTATTTATTGACTAACAAGTCTATTACCTACTCTCCCAGTTTCCACTGCAACAACCGAGAGATCATTTTCAACAATGAATATTGTGAAAACAAAAATACGGAATAAAACGGATAATGGGTTTCTAAACGACTCGTTGCTTTTGTTTATCGAAAGGGAAGTAGCTGGAAAAAAAAAATAGTTTGGAGAAAATTGTGAAAGACTTCAAGGTCGCGAAAGATCGACGGATTTCACTTTGATTAGCGATGTTTGACATGTTCATATTTAACGTCTAGTTTTACTATGTTATAACTTTGAACAGTGTATTTTATAATATATATATATATATATATA